ACTAACTAAACTATTACCAACACAAATGCAAAACTAAATTAAACGTGGGAAAATCTGAATTTAAAAATGCCAATCACAGCCAACTGGAAAATCCACTAACCGAACATGTCACAAAATAAACCTGGAGAAAAAAAAATTTAAAGCTGAAAAGCAGCAAAGGACATTCTGAACGAGGAAGACATTTTGAGATAGGAAGCAAGAGAGAAAGAAAAAAAAAGTTCAAGTTTAAGGATAAAATATATAGATGAACAATAACAAACTTCAGAAGGAAGTTCACTAAAGAAAGATGGCTATATTTCAATGAAAGCAATTAAACGTGAGCAGAACTTCTGAAATCTCTTAACCCATGATAGAGATAACAGGGATCACTGAACCATCTCAAGCACGTGGGTAAGCATGTCCCCAGCATAAGAAATCAGATCAAAGTCAGGTGAATCCTCAGTTTTTCAGCACATTCTTAAAATACCACAACATATGTATCAGATACAGAGATAAGGATTGTCGTTTTGTCGTCAGATGGATGACAATTTATGAGGATTCAAGTTTTGAATACAGATATTTTGTAATTCTTTTTCTGACGTAAGACATTTTAGAAGGAAAAAAAAATACTTCGATGTAATCAATATTAGGAAATTTTGCTAAAGGCCAGTTGTCATTTGTAGCATTATGACCAGTGGCCACTTTTTAAAAAAATTAACAATTTTTTAACCATCTAAAATTTTCAATCTTAATAAAGTCCCTTTTTTTCGAGCATTTCTCAAAATATGGTATCCCTTACAAGATTCAGTTCGAAACTGAAGAAAAATTTTAAGAAATAAGTGTAAAGTACTTTTCAGAATATAATTATATATTTAAAAAAATCGGCATTTAAAAAATTACAAGATGAATATGTAGTGCATTCTATTCTATTTTATTTCATAACCGTCGTTGAACAGCCGACCCAAATTTTGAGTTTATGGCTACTAATGTTCAACTCTGTAGTCTTGTAATTTTGTGCTTAATCCAGAAGACAAGGGAATTCCTGGATTAAGTATATAGAGAAATTTGCCTTCATGGAAGACTTTTTGATGGAATTAACCCGCATTTGCGTTACAAGGAGAGGAAAAATACGAAAACTTCCCACGGTTACCCCGACGGCAAGGGGACTCTAATCCATGATCTGTCTACCACTGAGGATATTTTACGCCAGCACTGTGGTTGGTGCGAGCCGAGTGCGATTTCGAATTGACCAACCATACCTCGAACCCGGTTCACCTCATTGAAAGGCGAACGCTCTGTCCCCTGGGGTACATTATCTTATAACCGTCGCCGAACAGTCAACCGAATTTTCAGTTTATGTTCAACTCCGTCCTTGTAATTTTGAACCATATCCAGAAGACAAGGGAACTCCTGGGTAGAGTATTGGAAGAAATTTGCCTTTGTGAACTTTTTGGTGGAACTAACCTGCATTTGACATTACATGGAGAGGAAAACCACCCACCGTTAGCTTAACTTCAAGGGGGGAAATGCGGTGACCGACAGTAAATTTTCTAATCGCCATTTATATTTAATCGTCTTGTGACCGAAGCTGATGGTTGATTTCGCCCTATAGCAGTAGGGCCACTATAACCAAGTAAAAAGATATTAAAAATAATAAATACTCTCGGATGTTTAGTGTTCTAGAGTAATGATAATAGTATGTTCTAGAGTAATAATAATGTATTTAATCTTCTCGAAAGGACGATTTCATACGTTTGGAACTATTTGAAAAGAAAATGTAATCAGAAATCCAGTTTTATTTTAATGCTGCAGCATAATGACTTAAAATGGTATAAGTTATTCAACTTTTGCAACAATAATAAATTTTTTAAACACATTAGAGTATTCTGTGAAAAACTAGTGTCTTGGAGAACGTTGGAATAATTTTTCCAACATGCTAACTTTCAAGAATTTATTTGAACAGATTTGGTGTTACTTGTAAAAATGGCTAGTAATGGGATGGCTATGGTGGAACGAAGCAGCTAACACTATCCCGTTAAAGATCATAACTTTTATAGGCGATATATTTAATTTGCATCACAAGCTAAAACCATTAGTCAAAAATATGAAATTTCTCATCGATTAGCTTCCATATTTCACAAAATCAGTATACTTATTCTTAAATTATATAATGATAAAATCCCAAATTTGAAACATTTCGGTTAAACAATTCCCGAAAAAATAAAAAATCTGATTTTTTTAATAGAATTTAATAAAGTTAGATCCCAATATAGTTTAAGTAGATGCTTTATATTGTAATGTAAAAAAAGCCCATTTTTGGCGAACATGTGGATATGAAAAAATTAAACTGAAGCTATATCAAAAATAATGCATGCTTGTCATTGTAAGATTAGTAAATTACGTACTTATCACTTTTTATAAAGTACATTAGAAAGGTAAAATGCAACAGGTTAAGTAAGTACAACAAAATAAATTTTAAAATACGGAAATGAATATAATGCTATATTCTAATTCCATGCATATTCTTGTACATTGGTATACTAAAAATTATTTATAAATAAATAAGGGGTAACACTCTAAAAAATATGTATATCTGAATTTTTTAAGCTAATCAGTTAAAAATAAGATGTAAAGTAAATTGTAATTCGTTCTGAGATTTATCCCATTTATAAAATTATGTATTGTATTTGTTAAATAAAATTTTGATGCAGCGTTAAAAATATTTTTAATGCGTTTATCTTCATTTTGACTGATAATGTTCAAGAAATACAAAAAACATAATATCGGAATAACACGATATAAGAAATAGCATGAATAAAATTAAAATAACGATGATTCATTCCCTTTACCATAAGCTGCATGACCACAAAAGTGATGTACCGCAAGTGGTAAGGTCACTGTACCGCCTAATCATTGCTTAAAACGGCGGTTACCAAACAAAAAGAAAATTGCTGCTACGCGACGGAAAACAAAGATGACAACCGACAGAAGGAATCGCACCATTCGTTGTTTAAATAATGCAACGAACAACATTAAAATAACCATAGTTAAACATCACTCTTGAAATTTCTTTTTATCTTTTAGTTCCATCAATTCACTTCAAGGAATAAGCAGATAAAGTTTGAAGGTGACAAATAGAAAATATTTCTGTCAAAACGAATCAATAATATTTATTGGAAATAATTGACAAGGAAAAAATTGACATGGAAAAATGCCAAAAATTTAAAAAAAATAACAAACTTAATAATGTAATACAATAAACAAATTAATTAAATTACTAGGGTAAATTCTTTAAGGTATGCAGGGGTCTGTTTAGAAGAAATTTGGGTCCGTTAACGGACCCTTCACAAAATATCTTTTCATAAAAACGGACTTGATGACCTAAAAAATCTCATAAAAACGGACCCTTCACAAAATGATTTTTCTTTTAATCGGACCCTTCACAAATTTGTTTATCTTCATTATTATTTTGTTAATCGAATAAACCCTTTCCAGGGCAGAAAACAAGAAAGATGGATGTAAACGAATTAAGTTTTGTCTTCGGCAGACGATTCTTCCATTATTCGTCCGAAATGAATATTCTGCGTTCAGCAGTATAGGCTAAATACCAAATATTTGTATGTTGCATCTCTAATTTAGAAGCAGCAATTGTTGTTTATTTTTTAAAATTTAATTTTTTTAATTACAATTTTACAGTGATGAGCATAATCTTGTATGTCTATACAATTTAAAAACTCCTTGAAATGTTTTTTTTTTTGCAATAACGGACCCTATTTGCACAAATTCATAAAAGCGGACCCTGGTTGAAAGATTGTGAGTAATTTTTTCACAATTTCACGAAAAACGGACCTTTCACAAAATGTCTGGACAGAAGACCCCTGGTATGTCTTATACTTCATCCATTTTCGACAGGGTGTAAAAATATCTGTTAATTGTAAAATTATTATAAGTTAAAGAAATATAGAATTCCTAATATTTTTCGTGACCCCAGCTGCAGGTCCTGCAATTCCAATTGATGTCGCGACCCACAGTTTAAAAACCTTAACTTAGACATTGTTTTTGTTTTTTTTTGCAGTTAGCGTAAAAAACCGATAATTGGCAAATAAAATTTGCAAAAGATCAAACTGACGAAAATGCCTACGTTCAGCATCGAGTATAATGCTGAATTTTAAGTAAAAAATATATATTTAGTTACTGTTATTTTTCACTTATATCTGGCAAATATAGTCAGTAATAATAAGCTAGTATATTATAAAATAATGTATTAAACATAATAGTATAATAATGGTTATAAACACTGTTTTTATTTTTTCTTCAGAAAAAAAACGTGGGTTTTCAGAGGATTTTATCATGATTTTTTTTTTTATATTTAGAATTTGATTGAAATTATAACTAAATATTGTCTTTAATCAATATATTTAATGCATGCCGCAATCCAGTACAAAATGTTAACAAAACATTCAATAATTTCAACCTTTAACAAAAATAACTGCACAATACCCCTATGAGTATTCACACTCATACCCCTATGAGTACTCTAATGAAATATGTATAAGTTATTTATCCAGGGGTCTTTTTGAAGATCTAGTGCACTACCGCCCAGAAGGTCATTTATTGTCTTAACAGATTTATTAAAAAAAAAATTTTTCTTCAAAAAAGTAATTTAACGCATATTAAATTATTTTTCATAAAAAATTCTAAAAAAAGAAGAAAAAAAAGCATATTACAACTTAGGAAATTTAAACACTTTTTATACACATTTTAAAATTTTTCAAAAATTTCAAATCAACAATTAAAACGCAACAGTTCTTCTCAATTCATCGTATTTATACACACTTCTCAAACTTACAACTTTCCAAATTTATTTATTTTTTTATAAAAACACCGTGGTAGTTTATTATGTCTTAAATAACAAACATAGTAAATACTTGCATCGACGGAGTTAAAAAGTAAAAACCATTTAAATAAACTAAATTATTTATTACATAAATTATTATTTAATAAACGAAGTCGAAACTCACCACCGTCAGATCCAGACGCCTGCCCATTGTCTTTAAAATGAATTCTCATATTTTTCCAAATATATTTTTAACAAACAATAAAGGGTTAAACACAAAACGAACACCCAGGGTGTTGTCGGTGTGAAAGAAAATAAAAAAGAAACTTATGACGAAATCAAACTTTCTATTTATGAAGTTCGATCGAGTAATAAAACGCAACTATCCTTTAGCTTTGCCAAAGGAGGACTGGCAAAAGACCGTAGCTTCACAGTGGGTGAAGGGCAGTAAAGAGAAAAATAAATATAATAGAAACACGGAGAAAAAAACCGGTTGCGGAATTGGATAGAAAGGGAAAGGAAAATGATGATGACACAGGCATAGTAAGAAGGTGAAGTAATGATATCCTTTTAGAGACATTGAAAATAATTCTGTTAGTAAATGCAAGTGGTTAAAGTTGATGGGAAAAGTGGAACGAGATTTATTATCAAATATGATGGATGACCGTTTTTATTCTTTTAAAAGGCAATACCGTAACTGTACTAAACAGTAAATGACTTTTTTCGCTAAGTATATGAAAACTTATATTTATAATATTTCATTTTTATTTTATAACCGTCGTTGAACATCCGTTGGGTTTAAGACTCCTAATGTTCAACTCCGTAGCCTTGTAATTTTGTACCCAATCCAGAAGACAAGAGAACTGTTGGATTAAGTACGGGGAGAAATTGATGTAACTAACTCGCATTTGCGTTACATGGAGAGGAAAACCTCACACGGTTAGCCTCATGGAGATGGGACTCTAACCCGCGGAATTCGTATCGACCAGCCACTGCTGAGATTCGAACTCGGTTCACCTCATTGGAAGGAGAACGCTCTATCCCCTTGAAAATTGTATGAACCATAATAGAAAGCTTTTCAGTCGCACTCTAGTAGACAGCCTCAAAACTGCGAGGGCAATCAAATTACCTACGAAACAAGTAAGTAGAACTATTTACGCCCATTTTTCAGCTTTTTAAAAAAAAATAATGACAAATTAAATAAAAATATTTATAATAAATGTTAAAGTTAAACTTAAAAACTGCAAATAAAAATCAATTTTAATATTTAAACTTTTTTTTTATAAAACATTAATTCAGAGTAGAAAATCTAAATTACTATTTACCAATGCATCAAGATAGGATTTAGACTATTAATTACATACTTCCAATTTTTAAATTAAAAAGTTCCAAAACGAATTAACACTTTTATTTTCAGATATCTATTTACAGGAAAAGTCAATCGGTCACTTCTTCATTTAATGAAACAAAGAGCCGAAATAATTACCATTGCTAAAACAATAGGATAGAGTCACGTATCATTGAATCAACGCAACCAATACTAGTTCGGTTAAATATCTAAAACTAAATCATTGTTCTTCTCCAATTGGACACATGCCAACGACGTCACTCGTGGGTCAGTGTGACATCGTTGCAGATATCAATTAAATCTGATCTGAAAACTGATTCAGCGTGATAGTAAACCAAATCCTCCAAGGTGTAACATTAACGAGGCATACACAACCACATGATTAGACACGACCATATGTGACTTGGGAACCGCACTTCGACAGTTTAAAAATATTGATATGCGATACATATCTATATTTTTAAGTACTAATAATAAAATGATACATAAATAAAGAGGACAAATAATTAATTTAAAAGATAATTTTTCCAATGTACTTCTTAAACTTTTCAAATAAGCTATCACTTTTTGTAAATCTATCAATACGATTACACATATAAGTGAAATGGCAAAGCTACACGCATCAACAGTAGAATTATTACGCAAAGCGTTACGGTTTCCCGTAACCCTAAAGTCATTTGAGCTAACAGAGCATGCGCGAAAATTTCTACAAATCATGGAATCGGTAACGGATTAGAAAAGAGAATTTTAGCGTTATGGTTAAAGCTATATAGCTGTTATCACAAAAGCTATACAGTCTCCCTAACAGATCTAAATCTTCGAGCTTTAAGCCGATCACCTAAAAAATAACTATACAGAATTAGCAAGTTAACGTGACGCATAACGTAATTAGCTTTCACGTTTGTTCTATTTTCAGAATTTTTTAGATATTTGACGCCTTGGCGCGTATCAGCGTTGCTTTAGAAGTTATTATAAAGCCAAAGAGTTTAGGTTAATGCACGTTTTATTTTTATTTTTAAACATATACGCAACACAAAAAATACAAATTACTTTTCTAAAATGGCATAGATCGCCAGACACATTAAAGACATCGACGCGACAATTTCTACCAAGACAAACGGCTAAGTTCAGGAATTTTATTAGTAAAAGTATTTATTTTTTACGAAGCAATATTAAAAATGAATTAAATCAGCATACAGGGCTGTTGCCAATTAATTTGAACTTGTTCACAACAACTTACTAGGAACCACTAAGAAAGAAAAACTTTAATTAAGAGTACAGTTTAAATCTCCAGTTATATAAGGAAAATTTAGGTTGAAATACTGGCATAGGTTAGGTTGAAACACTTAAGGCATGTATACAATATTTAAACTCAAATAAACCTATCCATCATTAACAAGAAACACTAATGTTTGATAGCATTACATTTAAACTGTTTTTTTTCTCTCTCTTACCAATAGAAAAAGAATTCAAACTTTGTAAAAAGTTCATCATATTTTTTTTCTTAATAAAACAAAAATATGTAACACTGGATAGATATATGCGCACATTCAATATTCCAGTAACATGAGTGGGGGCCGAGTCACCTTTAAAGATATGAGATAATAAAATGAAACGCACTTCAAAAACCATTTTTAATTCAATGCGGAAGAAGTAAGTGGATAATTCATTAGTGAAAAAGGAGTAGGATTTAGAAAGAAAAAAAAAACTGGAGGCGTCACATCTTCTAGAGTTTGTCGCCAACATGGGTGAATAATTAGCAGGTAAAAATTCCTCCTTCCGTTGAATAAGAGGTGACAGGTGAAAAACAGCTCGTTTGAACAAGAGTTGAAATATTTTGACAGATTCATCGATGAATAAAATTTGCATTTAATAATTCAAATTATTAAATGAGTGACAGAATTATTATAGGACAATATAACTAATCAGGAATATCACGTTTACAATATATAAGAGAGTATTAACTCAGTTAAGAAAAAGAAAAAAAGAAACTAGTTAAAAACAAACTATTTTTTAAAAAAATAAGTCTTAATGTCATTTCATCTTAAAATTTTTAGTAATCTCATTAGTCAATTTTTTTTTTTATTTTTTAATATATAAACTGCGTTTTACCGGGTAACACAATATATTATGTTCATAACAACTTGTTTATTTAAATTTTTTAACAGTTTATAATAATCGGAGTGAGTGTAAATGACATCGAGACTTATCTTTCCCAAAATTATTAGAAAAAGTCGAATTTTTTAAAATTAAGCTTAAGGATTTTAAAATCTGCTATGTAGATATGACAATCATAACTGATGGAATTACCGTAAAACTATTAAATTGCAAATTATAAATATTAAACGGGGCACACATTAAATATAGCAGTGTTTCCCAAAGTGTGGTACGCGTACCCCCAGGGGTACGGGAAACAGTTTAGCTGGGGTTAGCGTTCTTATGCGAAATATCTTGCAAGAAACGAAAATTACAAAAAATTTTATTTAAAAACAAAGCTAGCCATGAAAATTTACGATTACCTATTTTTCTATTGGCTATTTTTTGCAGAGTTAACAGTTAATAATTAGTGCTGTCAACAGCCAGTAGTGATTTTTAACTCTTGTTCAATTTTTTATAGTAAAAATTCATTAACTTTTTTATTAGTAGTACTCAGCGTCATTAAAAATTTAGAAAGGGTACAAGGGTTATGACTTATAAGATTGGGAAACACTGAAATGTAGGAAACATACCAATAGACCTAATCTAAGTAACGAAGTTCAATAATTATTTATTAGAAGAATTAAATTTTATGTTTTAAGAATTTGGTGGAGACCTAGAGAGAAAAGTCCTAAATAACATTCGAAAAGATTCAGCTTCTTGCTGAAATTAATCTCCCTCTTTCTTTTTTCAAGTTTCTCAGAAATGTCTCAAAAACTGTGGGGTTTAGCATGCATAGTAAACTACATATTTTCAGCAAAAATATGAATTTTTCTTCTTTTTTTAATTTAGTTTAGACAGTTTAGGAAATATTCTGAAAACCATAAAATAATTTTAAAAAATTTAAATAGCAAGTAGTTTTTTTTTGTAATATTAATTACTGATGAAAGAAATATGGAAATAAGTGAAAAAAGAAAAATTCGTAAACCGTGAACACTATAATAAAATGTAAGATATATTTAGTTACTTTTTATTATTAGCCATGCAAGGTACTATGTGTTTTTTTTGTTATAAATAGACCATTTAAAAAAAAACATTTATAGAGAATATTTAGTTTGTTACAAATAGGTTTCTGCATTTTCTATTGCTCTTTTTTCGAAATTATTTCAATTTTATCTAAGTATTATGAAGTTTATATTATTTATAAAATATTCTTTCTACCGCTCTTTAGGTTATAAACCAAAAAATTTTGAGTAAAAATTATTCAAAATACTTGCCTATAGGGAATGATATTGGTCTCAAAGATAAATCTGAAGTTGAGTCAAGTCAATAAGTTTTAAAAGTCAGTGGGCAATTTAAATGCATCGTCAATGTAATGAAATTAAATTAATTTATATCTTCTAAATTAAGTTTGAAGTAAAAAAAGGTGTAAAATAGAAATTATCGAAGATAACATCCTCGATGTCTTGACATAGTATAAGTCATACTTTACATTTCTTAAAGTCACCATTTATTTTTTAAACTATTACCTTAAAAAAAAGGCACTCTCTAATTGATTTTTTAAAGAAATTTCGTTTATTTTGAATATCTAAATTTTTGTTAGAACACATAAGGAAAATGCCATACCCGAATAAAACTTTTAAAGAGAAATTTTAATGCTCATTTACTATCATTTTATCATTCTCTTAATGTTCTTAACTATAATTCCTAGGGAAAATAATGTATCAAAAAAATTTTTGTCAGAAATTTTACACGGTTTATTCAGCACATTTAAAGTTTTTTTAGAATCCATAGATTTGATGGTACTTTTAAAAAACTGGAAAAAGAGTCATTGGAATATGAAACCACAAAAGCCTCACCACCTATTGATGGGCACTTTTAATATGTTATTAGAAACATAGCACCACAACATATAACATGCTTCAAAACTACACAACTTTAATTTACAAAAATGTGTCTTTTTTTCATACTATCTTCTAAATTTAGATTGTTAATTCAAGAAATAAAAATATTTGATAAACTTTTTGTAGGAAATGAAACGTAGTTTACTTTACAAGAACTAAAAGCTATTCCCATAACTGTGAAAAAAGATATTTTTAGGAACTCTTTTTTTTTTCTTCATTGTTCTTTACAGTCTAAATTGCTATTCAAAATATCTAATATGTTTCTTGAAGAAGAGTTTTTGTATATTACATAATGAACTAAACAATTTCTGCTAAGACCAGTAGTTGTCTATATCTTGTAGTTTACACATCCATTTCTAATAAAAAAAAGTTTATTTCTGTCCCATAATGGACTACAAATTTCAGAAAAAAGTGAACAAAAATTTTAAACTGCTGAACTACTTCAACAGCAGTACATAATTTTAAAAAAAAACTAATTCTTCAATAATGACAAAAAATAAACACAGACACAGCTTCATGTTGCTATGTACTGAGTTATATCTATGTAAGTATATCATCAGTAAACAATTATCAACTTTATTGAAAACAAAAAGGCAGTGGCTATTTAATATGTTAATTCTCCCACCAAGCCTAAACTTAACATTTTTATTTGGAAATTAAATGTACACATTTTATTTGTAAATGAAATTGCTATTAATCAAATGCAAGAATTTATTTTAGAACAAATCTCTTTCAAAATCAGGCATAAATCAGCTCATAAATATCTTGGCTTTAATTCAAGTTATTATATGAATATTTATATCTCAAAAACTTCTCATAGAAAAATAAAAAAGCAATTAGAACATGCAAATTTTTTGTTGTTGCTCAAATGGTAAATGCTCATCAATTTTATTAAATCACATTTATATTACATCTTAAGATTTTATTTTCTAATTGCATAAAAAAAGCACAAGTGTGATTTTTTGAAATAACTAAAAGATATGATACAGCTTACAATAAAAGAATTTTGCTTTAACAGAAATCTTTTGTATGTAAAAAAATTATAGTGGTTAGATAATTAAGATAGCAATTTGCTACAAAAACAAAAGATACCAATTTGTTTATACCTACGTGTTTTTTTTGTTTTTTTTTTTTTTTTTTTAAATGGTTAAAATATCAAGTGATTTGAAAGGATATGTATGAACAGAAAACATAACTTTTCCTTTCTCATAACAAAAAAATAAAACATTAGCTCAGGTTATAAACTTTTAACTATTTTGTCTTCATTTTATTTTTAACCCTTGTTAAGTATTTAAAACCTAGGATTCAGGTAAAATATGCATTGTAATATGTAGTAAAATAAACATGAACACGTAATAAAAATCAGGTGGTTTGGTATAGTAGAAAAACAGAGAGGAATAATAAATGAAATGGAAAAATAAAAATGTATAAGAAATGAAATAAATAATGGAGAATTTATGACTACTTTTTTATGTTTATATATACATATATGTAATATATACTAATGCTAGCGAAGTATCAACGAATTTATTACTGATAGGTTTTACTTTAATCCTAAATAAAAAATTATAATTTATTTTTATGACATGATGAAAACAATTGCGTTTTTAGATTCAGTTGCATACTTAATATCAAAAAGGTCACTAAAATTCAAGAAAATGATGAATGTAAGAATTAGATGAACCCTAGTAATCATAGTTTTAGATTATTTTAGTTTTATTATGTAAAAGCTCGCCGGTGAACAAAAACAGCTGGACTTTGCTCACTTAACACCATCTATTTGATATGAGAGATGCCAAATATAAAAAGGATAGATTATTATTAACTTTTTAAAAACAAGAACTTAGATTTTTAAGTGGTAATTTCGGCTTTACGGAAAAATAATCTAATAATGTGTATAAGTATAAATTGCATAACGGGAAATTGAATAAATTGGAATAAAATGTTTACTTCACATTACAATACCCTTTTTTAATTACAGAAAAAACATATACTAGATTCTTATAAAAAAGAAACCTTATTATTAATCATATTTTATAAGTAAAATAAATGTTAGCCGATTTCTTTTTGGTAAAAGTAAAAAACAATAAGGGGAGATTTTAGCAACAGTTTTTACTTAAAATCTTATTATGAATAATTTCACGCATGCTTACAGCAAAAAATTCTATATACTTTAAGAACAGGTTTATTTTTATTCCAAAACTGCAATTTAAACACATTTATTTAATCTAAAAGTTAAATTAATTGCAAACTTACGAATTCCGTCCTCCATCGTCGCACGAATCAACAGTCAACACTTTAAGAAAAACAACAACTCGGATGCTGCAAGCTGCTGCCACTCAAAACTTTGATATAGAACGAAGTTAATTTTTTAACCGTTTAAGCCGAGAGACTGCTCTTAAAATTGCAGACGAATTTATTTATTTAGAATTTAAACTACTCAACTTTACTTACCAATAACTTTTCTTACTTTCCTTTTAGTTCCCGCTTTCATTTGTTTTGTGTATTTTTTCGATATTCTTTAGTTCTTTCTATTAATTATTCCTGAAGATCTTCTACAAGTAATTTTTTGAAAGTTTTATTCTTTTAATCTCTACGTCATACTTTTAGCACATGAATTTTCCTAAACGATGTTAACTCTAATAATGGAACAAAGAATGCATGTCTCTTTAAAAATGTTTTTTGTTCTCTTCTAAGTGAAATTTTTATTATAGTTATTAACATTTTGAAAAGCTGAATACTTTGTTTTTATCCTCATTTTTGTTATTCTATACTTTTATTTCATTTATTGATGTATTTTTTACACTTTCATAAAGAATTACTAGCATTTTTCTTGTAAACAATGTTTTTATTCCTTTGTATAAAAATATTTTATGCATTTCTTAAAATATCTTCAAAAAGGCTTTCAGTTTTATTTATTCAAGTTCATTTTTTTTAGTCGCAGTCTTTCCTCGTAGTTATGGTAAAAGTTCGAAAATTAGGCCTTCCACACCACGTCAAGGAAAGGTATGGTATCATGTTTACCTTTGCGTTAAATACATTACGAACTTTAAATTTTATTCTATGTTCATTGTTCTTCTTTCATCCCTAGGCATTTTCCTCTTTACTTTTTAATATATTTGTGTGTTAATGAATTAATGCCTTATTGAATAAGAATGGTTTTTTTAAAGGATTAATAAACTTTATTTAGTGTGCATTACTAATAGTTTTTTAAATTACCTGTATTTTATTTTTTAAATGTGTGACGTTTTTATTTGTTTAATTTGCAATCTGTATTACTTCTGTAGTTAAAGGGGTTCTTGTGTAAAACTATTTTGAAATTGTTCTAAATATATCATTTGCAATGTTTTCAAAATTGAAATGGCAAGTTTATTCCACAATGAAAAAACAATCTGCAAAACTAAACAGGAGATATAAGTTTCTTCCAACTTAAGTGGAAAAAAATTTTATTCTAAAAGAAATAGTTTTTTAAAAAGTTTATGATAGCAATCTAGTTTTAATAAGTGAGAACTAAAAAATAACAGAAACAAAGTACTTTTAAGATGTAAGAAAAATTTAACAAATTGGGATAAAATAATATGTAAGTAGCCTCATCAAACTTTATTTCATGATTTTAAACGTTATATATTGAACAGCTAGCTGGCCCATTTCTTAAAATGAAAACACATTACCTCTTGGAATATATAGTAATTTCTGTTTGCCTATATTTTCTGTTAATTAATACTTATAATATAACTTAGTTTATATTCTCACTACTGCAGTTTCTGTTTGTCTCGTATATGAAATATACATAATATGTGTGTAACAAACATTGTAGTAATTGGGTGCCATTTTGAGACCAATTTTAAATCTCATAAGAGCAACTTGGAAAAGTTCAAACTCCTCATTAACCCAGCTCTTTTCATATCTCGCTGTATTAGCTAATAAAGATCCGGAACCTTGCCTTTGCTCTTATCAATACTTGAGCCTTTACACTTCATTTTTAAAATACTAAGGCTCACAGTTTTCTGTTAATTGTTTCTCGTCAACCCCTGGAATAAGTTTGATAGTGTACACAAGTCAAAATTGATATTTCACCTAACAGAAGACACTTTTGGAAACTGTATTTTTACTTTAAGGCATAACCCCCAAGGAAATATTACAGCAAGATTTTCTTTTAAATACTTTTTAAAATGTGTTAGTTGTTTAACTGGCCAAAATTAAACACAGTAGAAAACCATTTATCCGGTATCCAGATAACCGGGAAACCAGAAAAGCGGGAAAATTTTTTGATTGGTTTTCCCGCCATTTTAAACTAGAACGATTATGAAAAAGAGCGGAAATGAACTCATCCTTGAAGCTGAGAAGAGGAAAATGTGAGGAAGGAGAGAATTTTTTTCCCCTGTTTATCCAGAGAAACATTTCCTCCGTGACCTTGAAGGGAGGAATGTTTTATTTTCTCCTTTAGGCCGTCAATCAAGCTCAAGGGTGTGGCATGCAAATTTCGTTTTCTATTTAATTTACGAGGGGGGGGAAATGCATTGCATGCATATCAGTGAACAGAAGATGAAAAAGAAAAATATATTTATCTATTTGACATCGATTAATAAAAATAAAATCTTTTTCTTCTGAATAAATTCAAGTGCGGTATCATTTGCAAGTTTTTATTGATGTGGAATCACATCTGCTGTAATTAAATATCCAGTTTTTATCAACAAAAAAAAAATAATAATAATAAGAGGAGAATTGTTTATTAATTTAAACATAGATTATTTTAAGAAGCAGATAGCAGTTTTGTTTTTCTGATTCCACTACGTTTGATTTTATTTTTTCTTTTCACGATAAATTTCGCACTTAATAAATTAATTCTTTTTACTCATAAATTTCATCATTAGGTTTTTTTTAAAAATTCCGTTGATCTTGTCTTGCTCCGGGTTTCAATATTTATGCTAGTGCCTTTTTTAACTATCGTTTCGGTTCGATAATTTTCAAGTGTTATTATTTAGATTAATAAGTTTTCCTTTTATTTTATCGTTTCCCCCCGTATAATTAGGTATGAAATATATCGCGTTATTTAACCTTTAATTTTGTTTATATTAGTTAATTTAGGAATTGTAATTATTTTTAGAAAATAAATACGAGAATTTTGTATTTTTAAATCTTGTTTTTCTTGTCTAAACTTGCAAATTTTTTTATTCTTTTAAATATTATTTTTTTACCATTTTTGTTTTCTTTTTAAAGTTAGGAGTACCTTTCTTTTTTCTCTTACTTTATGCATTACACTTTTTCCTTGTAATTCGGGTTCGATAAAACATCGATTAACGACACTTTTTGGTCGATCCAGAAAACCGGGAAATTCAGACATCCAGGATAACGATGGTCCCGAGCATCCCGAATAATTGGTTCTCTACTGTATTTCATCTATAACAATTATTATGAATGGCAATGTATTTCTTTGCTATGTTTGTTTTTATGTAAGTAATGTTTGTTTATTAAGCAATGTTTTTGATCATACTCTTTAAAGAAGCAGCTTTATTATGCTGAACATGCAACAAATACAGCAGCTATCTGTTTGGAGGAATAAATAACCAGTAATGAACTCTATAAATGCAAAATGTTATAAGAGTAGTGCAATTTTTATATATAATTAGTCATTGTATGGTACCCTGTGGCAGAATTTTTTTTAGGCTTTCTGTGACATACCTCTCTAATAGTAATATCTTTTTGCAAGATACTTTTAAAAATAACAAATATACATGTTGCTTAATTAAAGTAACAAAAGCATCAACTTCAAGAGAGAATAAAAGAAACTTTTCAGATCAAATAAAATNAATGTAAGATCCAGGAAGAAAAGTGAAACGGATTTTATTCTAAATGGCGTAATTCGAAGCTTTTTCCGAAATGCGAGAAATTGGCGAATTTTGAAATTGATTTATAGAATGCGCGAATTTCTCGCGGTAATTATTTTTTATTGCGAGAAAAGAAAAAAAATATGCGTGATTCTCGCGCTGTAGTGAAAACACTGATTAATTCTGAAGAATTTGAATATAATTCTGAAGTTTGAGTATAATTCTGAAGAAAAGATAAAATCTTTCGAAAATTTCTGCAGAAAAAAAAGAAGAAAAGCTTTCTACTTTAGAAAAATCTTTCTGCAAGAACTCGATAACGTTCTGCGACAATGTCGCCATGATTCTGCCATGGTATGTCGCCATTATTCTTATGGTATAAAATTCACACAAACTTTTGTATCAACACATAGTTATTTATTATCTTAAATTGTCTGAAATTTATTATTAAACAAATTGCACACTCGTAAAATTTACTCGCGTGGAAATTCAGCTTTTTTGTCTTTTGGCAAATCTCATCCCTGTTAATAGAATTAATTATTACATAGTCGATTATTTTAGAATTTTTTTGCAATTTAAATAAAGAATAGCCTAAAAAGTATTATACATTATCATTTATAGTTTTTACACATATTTGCTAAGTTTCGAAATTCGTGTGCTTGCAAATTCATGTTCTGGAAGATAAATGGAAACTCGAAATATCAAGAATTGAAACTACTTGTAGATTACTTAATACCGAACCATGTGTTTTGTACTGCTGATTTTTTAAAATTATATTCAGGCTAGTCAATTTTGTCGTTTTTTTCAACATTTTCACTTTAAGAATTTAGATTGATTTTTTATTATTATAATAATATGGCTGCATTTTAAGAGAACATTTTATGATAGATTTTATTTTTTTATTGCTACTTTTTTCCTGTATGGTTAGGCAGATAACTGGTAACAAAAAAGCTGTGAGTTTCAAATTTATAGTTATATTTGAGGAATAAAGACCATTTTTTCTGTTTCTCCTTTGTCTTTTTTTTTTTTTTATTTATTAAGTTTCCTTTTTATCAGCATTTTCTAAAAATTCAGCCATGTGAAAAAATTAAATTGAGACTAGCAATAAACTTTCTATTAAAAATTACGCAAAATTTTTGTTTTGATTTTTTCTTTTCTAAAGAAACTTAGGCTTATATCGACATTTTTGTTATGAAACAGCAATTAAAATGTTTCTTAGACTAACTTATTTTTTCTTCACTTTTCGTGAAATTCAGTATAATAAGAAAGCTGAATTGTTCAACTTTCGAGAATTCGAATTTAATTTTATTGTTTTGTTTCGCTTTTGTATTTAATCCTTTGTTTTTGTTGCCATTTGTATGATAGCTCAGCAGTTTTAAGTGTGTCGTATGGACTATATTTTTTTAACGTTTTATTTTTACTTTTTTGGGAGGAAATATTTTTTTTTTTCCCTTTACCCCACTCAAATATTGCAGCTAGGTTTTGATCAATCTTTAATAATGACAGAACTTGTTTACATCCATAAAAAATAATTACAAAATGTCACTATTTATCTGCCGGATATTCATGTTGGCAGCGTGTTTTCCTATCTGTGTTGGCTGCTATGATAATATAGGATTGAGTATTTGCCCAATCATCTTAATTCAGTTCTTCCGAATCATGATATTTAACCAACTTTAGTTGCAGAATTTTTTTTTTACACGGAAAACGTTGATAATTACATTTAAAAAATGACTAAATGCTAAAATTACACTACTTGATAATGGGTGATTCTGTTTCGGAACAAGTCTGAATTAATCCTATCAGAACAAGAAATTATTTCAATCTAAATGAACTTATTTAATTTTAACCAAATGCTGCAAAATATAACAAAAAGATTATTTTTAAGGACTAGCATTTGCAAAGCTAATGTTAGAAAATGGAATAAACCTTTTTTACGAGAAAAAAAATTATTTGTTATCTATCTGGATAGTGACCTAACAAAAGAAAAATAGCAAATGTTTATTTAGTGGTATTCTAAAACAAAGATATAAACAACTGACAGATTAATTGCTGCAAATAAATTTTAAATAAAATTATTCGATTGGTTAAAATCAATGCATTGAAGTTCTGGGTGAATATTTCAAGTCCTGTTAAAAATAATAATTAAAATTAAAGCGTAAGTGCTAAATTAAAGAATTAAGGCAAATCGTTATTGGAAACTATAACACACAGCCTCTAAGAAATCTTGGTAAGTGCAAGCAAGGTAGTGTTGGACCTTCTAGTTTAATTTGAAAATTATTAATCTTTATTATGATATAAAATACCAACTCATATTTTTTTTTATAAATTGTTTGTTCTAAAATTTTCTTTTTTGATTTAATTTTGAATTATTACTTTATTGTTATAAATTTTTGACTTCAGAATAAGACACCAGAAACTTCAACAACAGCTAAGCCAGATTGCAGACCAAGTGCCAAAACCATTTGGAGTTAATAAGGAAACTAAAGTAAATTTTTATATAAGTAAAAATTAAAAACTTATTGAATTTCATTAGCATTTCATTTCAATTATTATATTTTTCTTTTCTATTTTTAGGATACTAAACTTCGCCGTATTATATTGTATTTGAAATTTCTACATTGGAAGAAGTTTGGATTACTTAAGAAAGGTAAGTTAAGCAGTTTCATGTTTTAAGACTAAACTAAACATTTTAAGTTTTCCTCATGCTTACATTTTAGTCATATTTCACATTATCTGTTTTTTTATGCATAACACATTTATCTGCAAGATTTATTTTATTGTTGCAGGTCAGAAAGGGTCTAAAGCCATCGATTCAGAATGCAAAGTTAAAGTTACTCAGCAACCTTTAAAAGTAACTGAAAAATATATTTATAATTAACTATTTGTTATTAATTAGAAAAACTTTTACAGTATTTTAAATGATTCATTATACATTAAGTTATATGTTCATTATACGAGTTATGTTTCTTTAACCCCATTGTTTTTTTTAGTTTCCTCTTCTGACGAAATTTTGCAGTAAAGCTCAAATTATTTACTTGAAGAACCCCAAAGCTACTGAAAAGAATGAAAGACCCTCTTATAGCAAAGAGCAGGATTCGGAGAATTTTAGTGAGTCATACGTTGTAGTGTAACAAATTGTTTCCTTATGACAATATATTTTTATCTACTTTAAAATCTGTGTCATAATTTACGTAACCCATAAAAATAATAAAAATAAATAAAAATCATTCTAGTTACATAATAGCAAGTTATTTACTTATAAATTGTGATTAAATCCAGTTTAAGTTTTGCAATAATGATTATTTTTATGTGCAATATTAGAATTCTGTTTTATGTGCAATATTAGAATTCTGAAGTAAAACCTTAATAACTTATTTCTATATGTTTAGGAATCAGGGGTCTGTCCAGACATTTTGTGAAAGGTCCGTTTTTCATGAAATTGTGAAAAAATTACTCACATTCTTTCAACCAGGGTCCGCTTTTATGAATTTGTGCAAATAGGGCCCGTTATTGCAAAAAAAAACTTTTTCAAGGAGCCTTTAAATTTTAAAGACATACAAGATTATGCTCAACACTGTAAAATTATAATTAAAAAAATTAAATTTTAAAAAATAAACAACAATTGCTGCTTCTAAATTAGAGATGCAACATACAAATATTTGGTATTTAGCCTATACTGCTGAACGCAGAATATTAATTTCGGACGAATAATGGAAGAATCGTCTGCCGAAGACAAAACTTAATTCGTTTACATCCATCTTTCTTGTTTTCTGCCCTGGAAAGGGTTTATTCGATTAACAAAATAATAATGAAGATAAACAAATTTGTGAAGGGTCCGATTAAAAGAAAAATCATTTTGTGAAGGGTCCGTTTTTATGAAAAGATATTTTGTAAAGGGTCCGTTAACGGACCCAAATTTCTCCTAAACAGACCCCTGAGAATGCATTAAATTGTGTTTTAAGGTACATAAATACCTGGATCTAAAATGCTCTTTTGTTAATTTTTGGGATTTTACAAATTTTTAATACCTTTAATCAAAACTTGTGTGTAACAAAATTTTCTATAAATTCAGCTTATAAAAATTCAAATTTTTTAATTTTCACAAAATCTAATTAACTAGAAATTTACTGTACTCCCTTGTCAATAGCTCCCTTCTTTTCTCTTTTTTTTCCGCCTAAGTTCTCTTTTACACGTGTTAACCACCAATTTTTTTTCTTCTTTACATAAATTTGCAAGAGTAAAACGCAACTTGGGAAGAACTTGGAGAGGGAAAGGCAAAGAAGGATTCTGCTATGACAGGCTACAACTAAAAATACTTTTTTTATGTGCAAAATGCAAAAATGGAAGCAGTGTCCTCCCTAAACGTTTTTAGAAAGGTGACTAGCTCTGCTTGCCCTTTGATTCTTATAAATATGCCTCCTTTGCCCTTTTTGTAAAAAGTAGTTGCCATCCCTTAAAATCACTGCCTTTTTGTTCAAATTCCATTTTAAAAATAATAAATTCCCTGATTAAAAAATAATTACGCACTGATAAAATTATCTATGTTTATAGGTTTAATTCTGATTACTGTTATAAATTTTTTTTTGGGGGGGGGGATTTACCTTTTTAAAAAGGTAGTTGGGCTTGTAAAAGTTTAATTTAGGCACTATTTTGTAGACTAATGTTTTAATAACAATATTTTATCCAAGCAAAGTATATTTTATTTTTGATAATCTCAATTAATCAAAGTGATTCTTGACTTATTTAACAGTCTTAACTTTTTCTATGAAATGTATCAAATATATTTTTTGTGACTATTATTACATTTATGTATTTTATATTGTACACTTTTAGAGTACTTATTATTTATTTGTATCTAAGCTTTATTTTTTATTTTAGTTAATTTTGAAAATCAATCTCTTGATACTGCAGATGTAAGTTCTATTCATACATTTATTAACATCTAAATCTATTCCATTTTTATTAAAACTGTTCATTGTTCCTTATATTCTAATTATATAATAACATTCCTAACTAAAAATGTATGCTTCTTAAAATCATTAATTTGGTTTAACAAGTTATTTATTTAAAAAAATGTTTAACTTAAAAACTAAAATTTTTTTTTGTGTTAATCTTTTTCTCTTTGAGAAGACTAATATAACTGACGGTTTTGAATTTGATAAAATTTGACTGTACAAATTTAAAATTTGCAAAAACATTTGTCAACTTCAAATATAAATACAAAATCAAACATGAAAAATTTCAAGACAGCCCATGTCAAAACCTGCTTTGGTGAACAAAACTAAGAGTTGTCAATATAGATGAGGATTTCAGTTAATTGTACACAAAAATAAAGATATTTTTCCTAGGGTTATGGTTTTCTTATATCTAACCTTAATTTCAGTTATTTTAATCATTGATGTTTTCAAATATTTAATAGCAAAGGGTTAAAAATTGTTCAACTGGAAGATGTAGATGTGTTATATATTCCTTTTATCTATATTTTTTTAATCATTCCAGAACTCTTCAGGGATCAAAATAAAGTGATTATTTAAAAAAATTTAAAAACATTAAAAAAAAATTCCGAATATTGTTTTCAAATGAATTGCACAACATAAAAATATGTTTCATAACCTCAATTTTTTAGTATTTATTTTACATTTATTGATAACTACAGGAATTTTTCATCTATTTTATACATTTTAATTCTCTTCTTAATAGTTTTAACACATTTACAGCCTTGCATAGGTTCTGAAAGTGATACTTCCTGTTTTGCTGACAGCAATACTTCAGTTTCTGCAAATCACTTTAATTCATTTGAAGGAAATGATGATAAAGATAATGTAAAGTACGTGCCTAATGGTGGTGTTGCTCAGTTTTTACCTCATGAAGAATTTTCTCAAGATTTAAATAAAGAAGTGGGCTATTCCTATTTATATGAAAATATTCTTAATACACCACCTTCTGATAATAGTTCAGTAGAGAGAAATATGGTTCCTAACCCTGAATTAAGAGACATGCATCTTAATAGACCACTTATGTCTGTTCAAAATGCTTGCAATTATACTGAACCGCATCAGTTTTCAAATTCTGTGATAAAACCTTGTGTTCCATTTAAAGAACATTATGAAGTAAACAATTATTGTTTTCCAAATAGCCCACATTGTCATTGTGGAGAAAAAAATATAAGGGCTCCATTACCTCCTATATCGGCATTTTTACCTCAGAGCTCCAGAAATTTGAGACATGATTATAGTGACTATTGCCTAAATCAACCATCATATCAAATGAATCGAAGTTCAGTAAATTCTGAAAATTTGTTTAATAATTTCTATGGTGGAGAACAAAGAAGTATCTCTATGAACTCAAAATTGTCACCAACTAATCAACCTTACTCTTCTGAATTAGTTTCTTCTGAGGAATCAATTGTTACCTACTTTTCTAATGAATGGCTTTCTGATGATACTGTTACTGATTCTGGTAGTTTGAAGGAATCTCCTATTAAGCAAAACTTTGAAGGCAATGAACATTCAATGCACGATGAAAATAGTAGTGATTCAAGTTTGATTGATTCTAAACATCGTAATGTTAATTTGAAATTGCCCAACAGTAGAGGCAACATTGAAAAAACCAATAAAGCAGCTACTCACAAATCTTTCCATACTTTTAATGCAAATAAAGCATTTGAAAAGAATCTCATTGTTTATCCTCAAAGTATGCCACAGTTGCCTTTTGTTGTACGAAAAAAAAGGGAAAAACCGGAGAATGATGATAGTTGTGTGCCTCAGTGTGGTTGTAAAATAAGTCCTTTGATTAAAATCTGTGAACCTGATAATGAAACAAATTATCGAAGTGCATCAAATTGTGATATTTTTTCTAGTAAGCTAATTAAGAAAGAGCCAGATGATTACTTATTACCTGCAGAGGAGAAAAGTTTCTCCCTCAATAATTTTAGTCAGTGGTGTCCTACGGGTTATTATAATACATTGCAGATGTGATAAGTTTTCTTTTATACATCATACTTTATGATTATTTATTTGTAAAATGTGTTTAAATGCATTGTTGTGACTTTTTATGAATTTATTTCTATATTTGTGGTGCTCATAATCTTAAAAAAGAAATTTGCTGTGAAATTTTAATAAGAAAATATTTAATGTTATTTCATTAATGTTATAGCATTATCTAACAATTTAATCTACATTTATGAATAATGTAACTTTTAAAAGAAATTGTTTTTAGTATTGTGTTAATTTCATTATTGCATTGAAAATAACTTTTTATTTCTCTTGTAAATAAAAGAATTATCAAGTAGTTAAAATTAAAATAGATAAGTAACTTAAGTAATATTTGATTATTAAGTAATAATAGATAAGTAACATTTTTGCCCATACTTGTTAACAAATTGCAATGTTAATTTTAATTTTTTTACTAACAAGTGCCTACATTGATGTATTAAATTAAGAATTGGATAAATAAGGCACAAATGAAATGCCTCATGCTTTAATAATATGCTATAATTTATCTTTAAAAAGAATATATTCTGATGTTCCTACACAGTCCCATACTGTGCTAATAAATGAATTAGTAGTATGGAAATTTTAAGTCTCAGATTTTTACACAATGGGATATCTTTTTAGATTGTTTTTACTCTAACTATTTGTTAATTTTTTTCATTAAGCATTTTAGAATTGTTGGTGTCAATGCTTTTCTAAAAACTATTAAAACTTATTAATATTTGATGTAACTAAACTTTACATCATACTTTAAAACTTATTAGTAATTAAAAACTAATAAAAAAGTTAAAGGCATCTTTTAAACAAACAGTTATTGCATTCTTATCCTTATTACAAAGATTGAAGACTTAAGTCTCATTCCTTTTTATAATTTTAGATTTTTTTTTTTTCTTTAATTTAATACATTAAATTCTTTTAACTTCAATACTTTTTAAAAAGTATTTTTATTTGTTTAGATTTTAATTTTCATTCTTGTTTTAAATAACTAGTTATACGCCTTAGGATATTTCAGTGTGTAAATGATTTTTATGTTAATTTTTTTATGTTTTCCTTAAAAAATGAATATCCTTGTAGAGTTTATTTTTCTTAACAGGATTCACAAAAAAATTTATGATGGACCCTATAATGTCTTTCAAAAAAACAAAAAAAAATATTTGATACCTGTACAGTTATTTTATTAAGGCAAAAGAAGGGTCTTAATTGTATAATTATAAGCATTTCTTTTGTGTTTCTTTACATTAGTTTTCCTTATTTATTTTATTAGATTTTATGACGTTTTTGAATCTGATAATGTGCAATATCTGTTTCAAATACATTTTTTATCTGGGCAATATCAGTACTCAAAAGGTATCGTTTTTTTATTTGTAATTAACTTATTTAATGAATTTATTTGTTGCATATATTATTCATCCATTAATAGTCATATTCTGTGATTTTTATTTTCGTGTGACACTGTGATTTTTATTTTTTAAATTTTTTTATTTTTATTTTACTTTTAATTGTGAGCTAATAATTTCTTACTTACTATTAGCTCTTTCTTATTGCTACCAGAGATTAACTTAATAAGCTTAAGAACAAAGGAAAATTTCCTGTTTTGTACTTGTGATATTTATATAAATGTATTTTTAATAGATTTTAATAAATTTTTCTGAAGTTAGAAAAAGTTTTCTATTGTTATTTTTGTGAAGAGAACAAAAAAAAAAGCATAAAAAGGACTGGGCTATAAATTGATGTATCGAGACATATCGATTTAACGCATATATCGGCAAGACGATACAGCGACTTTCATTCAAGGCGGTGCATCAGAAATCTTGTTTAAGCCGTCGAGTAAAGACAGCAAGCGAAAAACGATGTAAGCCTCTTCTCTTACGTTCCGATGTTAACCCACGCTGTGGAAGACGATGTTCGTTTCGTTATGTTGAAATGGCCTTGATTGGTGAGCTGTATAATCAGAGTTATGAGAACACATATCGTTATATCGCATGTTCCTTTTGGCACCTCTTAGCTTTTTTTTTTTTTTTTTTCTTTGCCGCGACTTTTCTTGTAGATAATTTTCAGTGGGACTAACTTCGTGATCGCCGATGTTACCTTGTTCTGAAGGCAATCTATTATTGAAAAGAATATATAAAGAAGAGTTTCTTCTTTAAGTAGATAAGTTTTTTTTTAAAAAAAAAACTTTTTCTTTTTAAATGTGAAAATTATCGGCTATCTAATTTAGGCGCCTATAAAGAATTGAATTTGTTAGGTTATTTTTTTACTCTTAATTTATTAAAAACTTTTTGGATGAAACTTCTAACAATTTAATGAGTTTTTAATTATAAATCTTGTTGTTTTTATTTTTAGAAATAAAGTGAAAAAATTTATTTTTGTCATTTGGATTTGGAGATAAGTCAATCAACTTAGTTTATACAAAAAAAATTTAAAAGGTTTGCGTATTTTATTCATTTTTTTGAAATCATTTAGCACTTCTTTTTATTAGAGAGTATAATAATCTTTTTTAGAAAATATTCTTTTCATATTATTTGTTAATTAGCTAAATATATTATCGAATATCACAATTTTTTTTATTTTTAAGAAATTAAATCTTACTTTGTTCGTTCATAATTTAATTATCTGAAATGATAAGGTCCCCGCAGTGGACTGATCGTTAAGACACGGTTCCCTGCAGATCACCGAAGTCAAGCATCACTGGCTGCGGTCAGTGTGCGAGTGAGTGACCACTTGGATCAGTCTGCATAGTGGCCGAGGTTTTGCGGTATTGGTCCTCGTTAAACTGTTCTACCGTAAAGTGCTAGACTTCGCATACAGGTCGTCGAGCTACCAAAGCGGGGGGTGCCATCCCATCTGCAGCGGATCAAAGTTGTGATGGCATGTCTTCGGATCATCCTCAAGGATGTTTCCCAGACCGTCGTCGATAGCCCATTGTGCAGCTCTAGTGTGACGTAAATGAACTATAATAACTGAAATGATAATAATAAAAAATAGTGTTTCAAAAGCGTTTTTTTTTTCTAAAATTTATTTCGCACTTTGTTTTAAACATACAAATAATTTAATGTTTCATTTAGAAATTGAACATTATGATCGAACTTAATAATTATGTAATTATTTATGCATAATACAAGAAAATATTAATTTGTAAAAAACGCTTTAAAAAAAGTTTTTAACATTTTGTTTTATGCGTATTATGAATTTCTAAACAAACATTTCAATAAATATTTTAAGTAAGATTTGTACATTGTAGTCAATTTATTTAATATCTTTCTTAAGCAAAACATATATATCTTCAAATTTATAAATTGATTTAAATCAATCTGAGTATGAAGTTTTGATAGAAATCTGACTTTCTGTGCCTTACAAATAAGTGAAATTCAAAAATACTATATCGCGATTCAAAACTGACAATGCATCACGATATATAATTTCTAATATCGCCCAGTCCTACTTAGGATGCATAAATTTTTGCAACTTAACTATTTTTTAATGTATACGAAATTTAGATTTTCATAAAATATATATATAAAAGTAAAATAAAATAGTTTGTCCTACTTTTAAAATTATTTAGTTTTGGAAAAAATGTAATATATTTCTTTCTAAAGTAATTTAAAAAAATGCACTGATTTTTGCCTATTAGCTCCATATCTCCGATTTTTAGAAACTTAAATTTATTTACGTTTTTTTCTTTAATACAGATTGGTTCTATTTGTTTTGTTTATTTTAGTTAATTACTGATGCTTAGAGGAATAAAATTCACAAAAAAATTACATGTGAAATACGTAACACTAAAAGTGTTCAAGTGTCATAAAATTATTTAAAAAGCATTATTTAATTTCTTAGACATCCATTATGCTTACTTTAAACCAAGTTAAAATGGCATTTTTACTCTAAATAATTATAATTAAAAATACTGAACTATCCAACATTTTATTTTATTTGTTTGCAATGTTTTGAATTTTAATGCTAAATGAAATTTCTCTGAAATATTTTTAAGGAATATTGCTCATACCCAAACTATTTCTATGACATGTTAGTTTTGTTCATCAAATTTAATTATAGCCATCTTGAACTAGAAGATATTTTTTCAAATTAGTTTCCATTGACATTTCACTGTTTGTTCAATTATATCTAGATTTTAATATGTTTTAGGGTAGTTGTATAAATAGGTCTGTCAAGAAGTTGAGTATTTTCTATCTAGAAGTAAAGTTTGCTGCATATTGAATGAAAAGTGGTGCATTTCAGATTAAAAAAAATTTTTATGTTAAGCAGAAATTAGCTCTTAAAGTTAGGTGAAATTTTCCTTTAATTTATAGTACTCCCACTATATTTATCACTTTTACATAATTTTATTAGCCTTGAATTTGATTTGTATGAAGGATAAAAGATTATTTTTACCTTTACACTTCTAATTGAGTTGAGAAGTGCACTCTTAAATTCTGAAGCATAAACAGTTATAGTAAGGAAGAAAAGAGTTTTTCCTTTTATGGTAACATGTGTATTATAAGATTTATATAGTTTTCAAAGCTTTTTATTAAAAAATGTTCTCATTTTTTTTATGAAATCGTTTAATATATTTCTTTAATCAAAAGTTTAACTCTTTGATTCAAAATAATCATTTGCTCAAAAATTTAAAGCTTAGAAAATTTCTGATATCAGCGTTTAAATTTCTTTATCTATATCATATGAAATGCTTATACATGGTCATAATTCTTTGAAAGTGAGATTGCGCTCTTCTCGTTTAGCTAATTAAGGTATAAGTTACTCATTAGTGGGAAAATAAAACTGAACTCTACATATAAACAAACTAACTACTATATTTTAATATTAATTATGCTTATTAATTCAGGTTACATATTAAATTTGAGCTTATTTTATTTTTAATGATGCTTAATAATATAGCAGGAAAGAAGTGCTAATAAAACTACTAAAAAAATACAGAATCCACGGAAATCAACCGAAAAAATTTAGATAAAGATGTTTCTGAGTTGAGATCTTTTCTGCCTCTGCTTTGTCTCCCGATTGCAAAATTTTCAATTACGCTTGTGGTGAAAGTTTTTAGGATAGCCCTCTTCTGTGCTATTTTCATTGGAATGACATGAATATTAATCGCAATAGATTGACGAGGATAAACCTAGCTGACACAAATCTTTGGACATTCAAATTGGAGATGGCGACTTGCTATTAGTAGTAAAACTGTTCTCATTGTAAAGTATAAATCTTCATAAATGATTTAATAGTCGGCACCAGGGTATTGGCAAAAAAAAAAAATATAATAATTCCTATTCCTTATTAAAAATAAATACACTGGTTATCATAAATTAAGGAAAAATCACAAAAATAGCGATAACTCTTTCAAAAGTAAGCCAAACCGTGCAAAATTTGCATATGTTGTCCACTAAGAGTAGCTGAGTAAAATTGCAATATGCAAATTAGTGGCGCTGCACTCGGCTTACGTCATCTGCCTGGAGCATAAAAGTCCAAGTTTGAGAGAAAGCACACAAATTTTACTGTGATTGCGACATTGAAAATCTGAGATAGCCAATTCGTAATAATGACCTCTAGGCATCATTTGCCTGAAGAACTACGATGGAGAGC